TGGATCCCAGGCAGGGCGGTGGAGGGTTGCGGCGGCCTAGGGGACGACAACGAGCAGCCGACCTCGTGGCCCCGGGGAGCAGCGCCTGGGTGGAGGGCGGTGGCACCTGGGGTGGAAGGCGCGCCTGGAGGAGGGTGGCAGCGCCTGGGGTGGAGAGCGCCTCGCGCTCGTCGGAGGAAGCCGCCTGGAGAGGAGCTCGCGGAGGAAGCTCACAGAACCCCTAGCCCGGCAACGCCGGGACGAAAGCGGCGCCGCCGGAGTGTGGCGGAGGGAGGAGGAGATGCGCCGGGGAGGCGGGAAGGAGGAGGATGAGCCACGCCGGGGGCGGGAAGGAGGAGGAGGAGCCCGCCCGCCGGGAACCGCAGTTGCCGCACATGCTACGCAGGCGCCGCTAACGCCGCTTGCAACAGCCGGATGCCCCCGACGCCCCGGTCGATGCAGCCGGCCCGTGAGAAAGGCACTTAATATAAGGATAAGGGGCAATTTGGTCTTTTCGCCTTTGTTATTTCAGATTTTGAATTTTTTTAATTCATTTATTCCCTGACCATCTGACGGCATCCAAACCAGGGGCAAACGGATGATTCAAATCAAAATAGCAAGGGCAAAATTACAAAGTTAAGAAAACAAGGGCAAAATCACAATTAGACTTATGCATAAGGGCAAGAACACCATTTTCCCTAATCTTTTCGTCCAGAGTTCAGAACCGGAAATCAGCTAGAGCAGTCTTCTGCTTGCCATCCAAGCCAACGGAGTAGTAACGTGAAACGTACTCTCTGACCAGTGTTTTCTTATACAAAGGAGGGGTTCTCGGACAGCAGCTCCTTGATCGGTCCGTACATTCTCGTCGAAGCGGGGTGGAAATGAGTGCTGAAAAAGCACGCGATCGAAACTCTCGGTTCAGCATTCTTCGCTACCACTCTATGCTCGACGCTGATAAACTTGTTAGAGATCAACTGAAGATGTCATGTCAATGGAAAATAATCAGTCAAAAAACACTCAAATGTATTCAAGTGTGTGCTCAACTGATGCTTTGATGCTCTCGTCATCTTACCTGCAAGAGATCGGCTATGTTGACGATGAATGCTCCAGGCGTCGGTGTATAGTCGACCCAATGCTCGGACAAACGCGGTCCCTGAAGCGTAATCAATAATTCTCAGACTAATGATTTCTTTACTAATGCTTGCCTCTCAGGAATGTCTTGTCTTCGTACTGCGAAACGAAAGGAGACTTCGTATTACAGGAGAGAAGTCCGACAAGAGAAAAAGGATGCGAAGCCAGTCAAGTCAGGAGAGCGAAGACAGAGATCGAAGTCAGGAGAACGAAGTCAAAAGCAAGCCAAGGCAAATCAAATCGCCTTGAGGCTACGTCGACTCATCACCAACAATCCTTCTCCCGAAGATTGTTAAACGTATTATAAATATTGTATTAGCGATGTAATGACCAGGTTGCCCTGAAACTCAAAGAGGGTTGTAAGTAGCGGAATCAGGGATATTTTAGACACTGTATTAGGATTAACACCTCTATAAATACCCCATGATCTGTACTATTCCTGGGTATTAAATGAATACTCAATTGAGTTTACTCAACCTTCCCATGCTTGTGTGATTGTTTTCACCAACAAGTCGTCTATTCAAAATGATCCATGTATAGGAGTGGACTAATATGAACTAGTCCATCACACGCGTCTTTGCGCGCGCCGGCGACTAAACGGAAATCAAACCGTGCAGGTAACGGCCTTGAGGTTGTTGGGATGTTAAAATCTAGATTTTTTCGTCTTCCACAGATAAGGTAGGCTACAGCTATGCTAATCATCCCGAGACATGAACTTTCTCAAGGTGCCCTCAATGAAGCGGCACTGAGAGAGAAAACCAAAGTTATATTAGATTTAAATATTACTTTTCCGAACCATAAATATTTTGCAAACATACCTTCAATCATATTTAGATAGTAAAGAGATGACAAACGGAGGAACAGTTTAAAAATTAGCATACCTCCAAGGAAGAAGCAGCCGTTAGCGTGTGATTTTCTATTGGGTCAAGGCATAAGCCGCCGCCATAATTGTAAAGCGTCATTTTGTCCAGAAGCCACCAATTTAGATAACTTGAAAGTTTATCATTTTATTTTGCTGCATAAGGTTAAGGTACAGCTAGAAGTGGCACCGCTAAGTTACGTACCTTGATTTCCACCATTTTGTTCAGAGGCCACCAATTCAGATAGTCTGAAACTACATCATTTTATTTCGATGCATAAGGTCTTGAAGGCAGCATCACCAAACCAATTAGAAGGTCAGCTAATACACAACCAACAGAGCAGATATCAATCGCAGCAGTAATACTCTGTAGCTCCAAATATTAGTTCAGGCGCCCTATAATACCACGAGCAAATGTACGATATGTTAGGCTCGCCATGGAATTGAAATGGATATTTCACTTTATTAAACCCATGAACATATTCAGCAGGAATAAACTAAAAGAGAGAAGTGTACCAATCTGCTAGCAGTCCCAAATTCACAAATCTTAACCTGATGTGTATGAGAATTGACTAGGAAGGCTAATCAAGATGCAATAAGAAATTTGTTCAGTAGTTACCGTAAAACCGAACGAAAAAAAATACCTAAGAGATTTAAGCAGACACGTTTTTGGCAAGACGATATGAAAATGCCACGGACCTTTTTTTAACATTAAGAGCAACTATAATCGTATATCGAATTTATAAAAAACCGTGAGCCATATCGTATATCAATAAACCGTGAGCAACTATAATCGTATATCAAATTGCAGAAGTAGCTAGTAATACCAATGTGAGAACCAAGAACTCATCTAGATTTAAGCATTAGGTACCTACACTTAGTAAAAATGTCTAGATCAAAAATGGTATGCACATCAGGAAACATCAGGAAACAAAGAAAATGGAGTCCATCAGTGTAGATAGAGATAAAACTGGCATGACATTAAAATAGAGCATCATTCTTTCTGGAAACTCATTGGTTTCAGTTAAACAGGAATCTCCTGGAAGGAGGACATGGACATATGCACTAACCAATCAGTATCGTAAATCACACAAGGAAAAAATGGCATAAAAAGGTCACCGGCCTTCCTGCCCTTTCAATGAATGGACACAATCCATTACGAGGAGATGACAAGTCAATGCACAGTAATATATCAAGATTGTACATGTAACCATTTTTACTAACCTAGAGGTATTATTTTGAACAAACCAGCAGATTTTAATTCAGGTAATAGCAAATAAAATACTAAAGGGAATAAAATCAGCAAAAGCTTTAGAATCTACTGTTCTCAATTGCCATAGAAATTATTGTGAGGATCTGCCGCTCTAAAAAACGCGAGGGAGAGAGGATCTGGGGGAGGAGCCATGGGACGAAGGAGGAGAAGAAGAGGGTGAGTCACCGTCAAATCCAGTGGCCGAGCTTCACCGCCGCTGCCATCGCCGCACAGGCACCTAGGGTTTCGTCGAGCAAAGGAGCACAAGCTCTTGAGTGGGAGGAGGCGTTGAGGCAGGCGCACGGAGGATGGGGGAGAGGGAGGGGGCCGCCGAGCCCCTCCCGCGGCAGCGCATCGCCCGCAGGGGCGCCGTCGCCTGGCACCTGCCGCCGCGTCGCGCCTGTCGTAGCATCAGGAGGGAAGGGGAGAGAGAGGAAGGGGAGGGAGAAACGGAGGTGAGAGGCAGGCGAGGGAGGGCGGAGGAGTAGGAGGATAGCCGTCGTCGCCGCCGCGCCCGGCTCGCGCCCGTCGTCCCAGCTCACGTCGGGACGTAGAGGGAGAGACTGACAGGGAGAGAGAGGAGGGAAGAATTTGCAAGGAGAAGCCGGAGCCGAGTATATATTTGTTCCACCGGATTCGCATGACAAGGCGCAGAAGCTAGCAAAATGAAGCCAGAGCGACGAGGAGCTGGCAGAAGCTGATTCCAACAGAAGCGGCTTCAAGCAATCTGGGCCACACGATGGAGGATCGGACGGTCAGGAGAATTCGGGGCGACATGGACATCTTGAGAGGCGGCCAAAGTAACTTGCTTTGATATATTAGATTTGTTCCACCGGATTCGCATGACAAGGCGCAAGGCGCAGAAGCTAGCAAAATGAAGCCAGAGCGACGAGGAGCCGGCAGAAGCTGATTCCAACAGAAGCGGATACAAGCAATCTGGGCCACACGATGGAGGATCGGACGGCCAGAAGAATTTGGGGCAACGTGGACACCCAGAGAGGCGATCAAAGTAACTTGCTTTAATATATTAGATGACAAGTCCAAAACAAACCGAACCAATATGGGGATTGGAAAAACAAATGCTGTACATGCTCATGGGCATAGAAGAAACATCTTATTATGTGTTACAGAAATATGCGTCCACAGTCCAAACTCAAGTCAGGCTTAGAGCATCTCTAAGAGTTCCCTAAATCCCTTCCTAATCCTTAGTTTTTAGCAAGATGAGAAAAAACTTCTCTCCAACGACTTCTAACCCATCCTCCTAATCTTTTAGAGCTTGAGAAAAGTTGCCGTGTCCCGCTTCTGAGTCGCACGTATCTTCTCTCCCCGCGCGTGTCTGTCGGCCAATCTAAAGGTGGAAGGGAGTGGAAAGAATAATGAGTAGAAAAGGGTTCCTGATGCAAATGTAGCAGAGAAAAAGAATATATAAAAGTGGTTAGGATAATTTAGAAATAGTATATGATTCCTGATGTAAAATTGTCTTCTATATTTTAGGAGTAGATTATTAGAAACTCTTAGAGATGTCTTTTTTAACGCTTTCAATACTTTTTTAGGAGTTGTAAAACTCCATGATTTTGGAAAGAAAATATTGGGTACTTTTGAAGATGCTTTTATTATACAAACATGTGTACGATCTATTGTGGCGATCGAGCATAAATATACATTAATTAGGGAATGTGAGCAGTTATTAATCTTCTCTTTGGTATTATTACACCATACGGATTGTCCAAACATTTGCATCTTGCTGGTAAATAAAAAGATAATCTTCTCGTTCAGAATTCACAACCTGAAATTAGCTAGAGCACTCTTCTGCTTGCCATCCAAGCCAATAGAGTGGTAACATGCATAAAACTCTCTGACGAGGGTTTCCTTGTACAAAGGAGGGTTCTCCTCGGACAGCAGCTCCTTGATTGGGCCATACATTCTTGTCGAAGCTGGATGGAAACGAGTGTTGAAAAAGAACACGATAGAAACTCTTGGTTCAGCATTCTTTGCTACCACTCTATGCTCGACGCTGCTAAACTTGTCGTTAGAGATCAACTGAAGATGCCAATCAACGAAGAAAATAAGTCAAAAACACAGATATATATATATATATATATATATATATATATATATATATATTAAAGTTTTTGCTCAATTGACGATGATTTGATGATCTCATCATCTTACCTGCAGGAGATCGCCTCTGTTGACGATGAATGCTCCAGGTGTCGGTGTAACGTCGACCCACTGGTCGTCATGGAGGATCTGGAGGCCGCCAACTCCGTCCTGCAGTAGTATAGTCAGGAAGCCAGAGTCTGAATGCCGGCTCGTCCCAATGGCGACTTCAGGCTCGGGGCATGGAGGGTAGTAGTGCCCAAGTATAATCTGTCCCTGGTTGCACTCTATGTCTGTCAAGTAGCTCGGTTTGAGTCCAAGGGACTCGGAGAGCAGCTCGAGCAACCTGTCCCCCAAATCCTTCACTTGTTTGCTGTACTCAAATATTGCATCTCTGCAAATCGTAATACATTTTATTAAACAGTACTTGTAAATATAGAAACAACACTTTCTTCAACCTCAAACACCCCATGCTTCAATCAATGGCAGAAAAAAATTAATGAGGCCTATGGAGGTGATCCACTGTGTCACCGCGAGTAGGGGGCTCGAACACCCCCTGCCCCACGATGGATGCGCCCCTGTGTGTACTTTTATCTTATATATAATATTCCATCCGTTCCAAATTATAAGTCACTTTGACTTTTTTGATATATCCATTTTGCTATGCATCTAGATATAATAATATGACTAGATACATAGTAAAATGGTTGAAAAAAAAAATCAAAGCGACTTATAATTTAGAACAAAGAGAGTACTCAATAAATATGTTGTATATTATGACGGAATAAGTCTTGTGCCTTTTATATTTTGGAGCTCTATCTCTAGGATAAGTAGGAGTATTTAGTGCCTATGTCATGGCATCTTATCTTCTACTTTAGTTGTTGCTCTACTTTATGCTTTATAGTAGCTGTAATCAGACCACTTGGTCTATATGTACCATACCAGCAGGTTCAAGGCTTAGCAATATAGAAATAAAAAAATCTCAAACCTGTGTCTATGCCAACAATTTGTATCATAGCGTTACTTCCTTCCCTTGTGTGGTGCCATGTCGAATCACTCCGGCACCTCCAGCCAGCGCAGGGCTCGTGCTGCCGCCACCGTTGACGCGGTGGTGGACCCCTGACACAGAGCGTGACGCCTGCATTGCTGCAGCAGAGGTGGTGGCCACACGGGCTGAGGAGACGGCTAGGCAGGCGGCGGCCGCAGCGGCTGCTGCGGCTGCTGCGGCTGCTGCTATCACTCTGCGCGCAGAGGTGGAGCGTCCTAGAGGTTCGCGGAGCCCTCACACACGCCGCGTCCTCTCACCATCGGCGGAGCGCCGTCGCGGACATGGTGGCCGTCGCGGATCGCTAGTCGTCCGGACCATGATCAAGGAGGTCGTTGGGAGTATGCCATGGCCCTTGCTCAACAAGACCAACTACAACGAGTGGAGCTTGGTGATGAAGGTGAAGATGAAGACGAGGCAGATGTGGGATGTGGTCCGCCGCGTCGAAGTCGACATCCATGATGATCAGCGGGCGCTGGTCTCACTACGGTTCCGCTAGTGTGGCAGCCACCCTCGCGGACAAGGAAACCGCTAAGGAGGCTTGGGATGCAATCGTCGCAGCGCACATCGGTGGCGATCGCGCCCACAAGGCAACGCAGCAGAAGCTTCACCAGGAGTAGGACCAGCTCGTGTTCTGAACGGGGGAGGACATTGACGACTTCGCTCTCCGCCTCTCTAGCCTGGTGCAGCATATCACGCGGTACGGAGATGATGACATCAACGAGGAGAAATCTGTTAAGAAGTTCCTTCGCATCGTCCCCAAGTACACCCAAGTCGCCCTCACGATGGAGACGCTCCTAGATCTCTCCAAGCTTCCCATCGAGGAGCTGCCCATCGATGACCGTGCGCAGCTACCTCCCTCAGAGCTGCTCACCATCGGTGGCAAACTCCTCTTCACCGAGGAGCAGTGGCTCGCTCGCCAGAAGGGGAGAAAGAAGGGGGAGGGCGCTGATGGTGGCACGGCCAGTGAGCGCAAGGCTACCCGGGATGACACCTGCCTCAACTGCAGCAAGACCAGCCATTGGGCCAAGGACTACCGGCAGGCGAAGCGCGACCGCCAGGCTCATGTTGCGCAAGCGGAGAAGGATGAGCCGACCCTGTTCTTGGTGCACGGGTGCATCGAGTTGCGGCAAGAAATAGAGGAGGGGGATAAAAATCCAAATGGTTCCCCTCATGTGCCGTCCACTGCTGCCTTGCTCCAACGAGCCGTGCGCCCGTGTCTTCCTCGGCAACGGGTCCAGCGACAACAAGATCGATGGCTGGTACCTCGACACCGGTGCTACGCACCACATGACCGGGCAGCGTGAGTACTTCTCTGACTTGGACTCAGGCGTGCACGGCTCCGTCAAGTTTGGCGACACTTCTGCCATGGAGATCAAGGGTGTTCACTCTGTCATCTTCAAGGCGAAGACCGGTGAGCATCACGTCCTCACTAGTGTCTACTACATTCTAGCCTTGAGGAACTCCATCATGAGCTTGGGTAGCTAGATGAGAATGGCTCATGCATGGAGATCGACCATATAGTACTCCACATCTGGGGTCATCGTCATCGACTGCTGGCCAAGGTGAGTCGAGGAAGAAATCACCTTTACATCCAACATGTGCAGGTGGCACAGCCTATTTGTCTTGTAGCCTGCCGTGACAATGACGTTTGGCGGTGGAACGAGTGCTTTCGCCACCTAAACTTCGAGGCCCTAAAGTAGCTCAACAACAAGGAGATGGTGCAGAGCATGCCACGCGTCGAGCACATGGAGCAGCTCTATGACACTTGCGTGCTGACGAAGCAGAGGTGGCTTCCCTTCCCACGCCAAGGAGAAGCTAGAGCTCGTGCACGGTGACCTCTGTGGTCTAGTGACATCGGCTATGCTTGGAGGCTGGTGCTACATTCTCCTCCTCGTCGACAACGTGTCCCATTACATGTGGGTTGCCCTGCTCGACACCAAGGCGGCGGCGGCGAACGCCATCAAGTAGCAACGGAGAAGTGCACTCGCAAGCTTCGGGTGCTATGCACGGACAATGTGATGAGTTCACGACGACTGAGTTCGTGGCATCTAGCGCGGACGAGGGCATCCAGCGCCACTACTCCACACCACACACTACAGTAGAACGATGTCGTCGAGCGCCGATGGTGGTGATGGTGCGTGCCTTCCTCAAGCAGAGGGGGATGCTGGCGATCTACTAAGGCGAGGCGGTGATGACTATCGTCCACATGCTCAACCGCTCGCCTACCAAGTCCCTCGATGGCATGATACCATACGAGGCCTAGCATGGGCACAAGCCGACGGTCAGCTAACTCCAAGTCTTCGGCTTCCTAGTGTTTGTCAAGGAACTCAACCACGTTGGCAAGCTCGATGACCGGAGCATGCTAGGGGACTTCATCAGCTATGTTAATGGTGTCAAGGCCTACCGCATCCTCGACCCTATGACATAGCGTGTGCGCTTGGCACGTGATGTCGTGATCGATGAAAGGTGAGGCTAGGCATGGAGTAAGGCACTAGACGATGGCTGAGCTACAACGCTTAGCAACTTCATCGTCGACTACATCCATGTTGAAGGAGCTGGGGGAGTTGGTGGCTCTCCATCACCATCCCTATCTCCTATACCACCTAGATCACCATACGCTCCATGCGGGTTCTCCACCACCAACAACGTCGGCCACGCCTCACTCTCCTGCACTGGCACCCACACCTCCAGGCTTGGCTTCACCAGCATCGGTCCACAACGAGCAGCACACAGTGGTGTTCGCCGCGTCACTGTCCAATGACGAGGGTTGGATCGATGCCTACCATGATGGAGAGCCCCTATGCTACTACACCATGGACAACATCTCCGCGAGCCACCCATCCCTAGACTAGCACAGCACGACATCAAGGAGAAGCTGCACCTAGCGATCGACGGTGAACCCTGTTCCTTTGCTGAAGCAGAGGGTGGTGTGGCCTGGCGTGCCGCGATGCAACAGGACATGGGCGCCTTTGAGAGGAATCAGACATGGGAGCTAGTTGATCTTCCTACCAGCCACCGTGCCATCACCCCTCAAGTGGGTCTTCAAGCTCAATAAGGATAAGCTTCGGGCAGTGATCAAGCACATGGTATGTCTAGTGGCGTGCAGGTTCATCTAGCAGGAGGCAGTCGACTACAACGACTCGTTCATACCTGTCGCCTGGATGGAATCAGTCCGTGTCCTCCTCGTGTTGGTGGCCTAGCCGCCTAGGAAGGCTGGCGTGTCCACCACATGGACGTCAAGTCTACCTTCCTCAATGGTGACTTGAAGGAGGAGGTCTACATCCGCCAGCTACTAGGATTCGTCATCACCGGCCAAGAGAACAAGGTTCTCCGCCTATGCAAGGCTCTCTATGGCCTAGGTTAGGCGCCATGAGCCTAGAACATGAAGTTGGATGCCACTCTCAAGACGATAGGGTTCCAACAAAGCATGCACAAGGGCACAGTCTACCGGCGGGGCAGAAGAAGCTTTGCTATGCTTATCAGCATCTACATCAATGACTTAGTGATCACCGACACCATGGAAGAAGAGGTGGAGGCATTCAAGGCAGAGATGAAGGTTGTCTTCCAGATGAGCAACCTAGGGTTACTATCCTTCTATTTGGGGATCAAAGTGCACCAGGACAGCTTGGGCTTTTCTATCCGCCAAACCTCCTATGCCTGGCGCATTGTCGACCTGGGCGGCCTCACTAGCTGCAGCCTAGCCCATGCTCTGATGGAGGAGAGGCTAAAGCTGAGCTGGCACAACATGACTGAGGAGGTGGACGCCATGCAGTACTAGTGGATCATTGGGAGCCTACGCTACCTTGTCCACACCTGGTCAGACACGGCATTCGCCGTCAGCTATGTCAGCCGATTCATGCAGCGGCCGATGGAGGAGAATCAGCAAGCCATCAAGAGGATCCTATGCTATGTTGTGGGGACCTACGACTACGGTCTGCATTATCCAAGGAGTCCCGACATGGCGTACTTCATCGGCTATAGCGATAGCGACCACGTTGGCGACATCGACACGAGCAAGAGCACGAGCGGGAGTCTATTCTTCTTCAGCAAGTGCTTGATCAGCTGGCAATCAGTTAAGCAGCAGTTGGTGGCTTTGTCTAGTTGCGAGGCTGAGTACATCGTTGCCACTACTGTCTCTACTCAAGCTCTTTGGCACTGGAGCCACATGTACTGATGGGAAGGTTGGGTGGCGTTAGGGGTGGCAGCGGCATTAGGGCCATGGAGAGGAGGCCCACATGGTGATGCAGGGTCACAAAGAAGAGGTCACAGGAAAGAACAGAGAAGAACAAAATGTTATTTTTGTGTAATCAGTGGCATGGTGAATAATTTTAGCTGACTTCCAGTATACATGAGTTTTCATAGCACACTACTACATAAAATCTTTTGCCCAGCGTTTCACTTTGGGGCTCCGAGGCGGGCACCTG